GGGTTTGTATTTAATTGTATGTGAAAATAAACCCCATGAAATAAAAGAACAAGAAACTGGACCTCAGAGACCTCATATGGTCAAAAACAGTTCAAAAATTTACTTAATTGTCTTTAAAACCATGAGGATCATGATTTTATACCATTATTCTAGTCATGTGGGGGAAAAAGGAAGCAACATGTCTAGGACAAGAGTCCTGCCACTGCCCTAAGACAGTTCCAGATTGCACTAATGTATTTTCTGGCAAGAACTTTTAAATCCAAATAGCATAGGCATAATTTACTTTCAACAAAACAAAAGGTTAAATTCCTGGACCCAACAGTATTTATGAAAGCCATTTTTCTGGAGACTGATGTTTAATACTGTTTGTCTTGTATGCTGTAGAGAGATATTGAGACTACTGTGAAAATCTATTGATGTCTGGTTTTTTTGGGGTTGGTTTTTTTGTTTTTTCAAAAGTGCAGTAATAGCTGACAGACCCCTATGGATAACAGAAGGGCTTTTTTAGTTTGTTAATACTTTTGCACAACAGAACTGGGTCCTATCTCAGCATGATTGGAAGTGAATGCTTTTCTTCCTGACTATGCTCCTTTGCTTGGTTCTTACACATCTCCAGATCAATGGATTGTTTTTTCCCCTTTTCTCAGGTGTTCATATTTCTGAAAAGGAAACATTTGGTCATGAGAGCTTCCAGGCTCCAGGAACAGGGCAACCAACTGCCAGTAGAGCAGCACTGTGGTTTTCCTGTCCCACTGTGTCTGTGCCAGCTCCCCAGTCCCCACAGCCCTGCCCAAAGCTGGCTGTACCCCACCTGGGTAAGGATTCTGTGCTGCCTGCTGAGGCTGCAGCTGCTCTGAACCTGTGGCAGCCATGCACAGATCTCCCAGACTCTGCTGCCATGGCACTGTGAGGAAGCACAGAGGCTCCAACCTCTTCACAGCAACATCACTAAATACACTGCAGTGGCAGCCCGTGCAGATCTCACATCAGCCATGGTCACTGGCCTGGCTGGTCCAGGAGTGACCTGGACATGCCAGGGCATCTGTTTTTACTCCACTGAAAGAGAAGGGGCAAAGGGGAATTTTAATCTTTGACATTTGCCAAAAGTCAACTTTGTCAATGTTATTTTGTAGAACTAGAAAAACAATTTATGTTATGTGAGCCTTCCTAAGAATTTTAACATCCAGCATACACAAGGACCAGCTGTCTCAGAGCCTTTTTTTTTTTTTTTTTCTAATTAATAGAGCAGAATTACTCTACCATTACAGTCCATTCTTCTAACTCCAATGGATACATGGCTCTGCAGCTGCTGTTTCCTGATTGCATTTAGTGGATGCCATCAAAACAAAACTCCTATCTTCCCGTTTATTTAGATTTTTAGTTACATAAGGGGTAGCTGGCCAAAGGACTTGGCTATATGTGCTACTTGAAAATCCATTGTTATGTGCCTTGTTTTCTAGGAAGTGAGCATTATCTATTTCTGTACCTGTATATGTACCTGTCCACATGCAAGAATGATAAAATGTCATTGGATATTGTGATAATGTTTTCCCAACACATGTGGAAACAACACCACACTGCCAGTCACAGCTGGATATGAAGCCACAGGAGCATCTACTGCAGCTCAGACCAGATGAGGCCTAATAAGGAAGCAGGGGGGAAATATCCTTGTGTTTAGAATTTTTTATTTTTTATTTTTTTAAATGTTCAAGACTGGGAGGATGTTAAATGGATGGTTCAGTTGTTTCTTACCCCTTTCATAGAAGTCACTCCTTTGGGAATTGCCTAATGCCTGATTTCACTTGCTACTGCTCCTCTCTGCTTCATATGTATTCCTTGCTGATACTGGGACCAAGCTACACTGGCTGTTGAAGTAAAGTGGAAGGTAGAAAAGTGGTTTTATTTTTATTTAACATTTCAGAGGAAAGACAGGGATATTTTGGAAATTTCCAAATAGGATGCTAACGATTGCTTTATAAATAAAAAGAAAATACACATTCTCCCACTATTGATTGACTTAAAAAAAGATGACAGATTTATATGGCACAGGACTAAAGAAGTTCAATAGCTGTCTTGATTTAATTCTCTATTGCCAAATTACAATTTGCTGTGCTTTGATCAGTGCAAAGAGTAGGGAGCACAGTTATTGACTTCATCCAGGCAAATAGATATAAATGTAAACTCTCCGATATACAGACTGATCTTTGTGCAACTCAGAAACTAGAGGAAGGCCTTATTACAGTCCTAGCATGATTCTGTTTGCCGTACAGAGTGAGTAGAATTTGATCTTGAAAGAGTAATTACTAAATAAATATTTAATTTATATATAAATAACAGTCAATAGTGTAGGAGTTAAAACAGTTAAAATTCTGAAAGAATGCAAGGAATAGAAAATAAACAGCAAATAGGAAGGAAGATAACAGTAAATTGGGAAAAATTAATTCAGAAGGAATATTTCAAGCTGAAACAATGTGACTGCTTTCTTATCCTTTTATACTCTTTGGCTATATCATATGGTATAAATAAGATTACATGTTACAGTGATGCAAAAATTTGTGGACAGAAAGAGGACAAAAGCTACAGTAACTTCTGTAAGACTACATAATTGTGTTCTGAGTTTAGATTTAGTTAACTTTTTCCTAAATTCATATACTAAGATTAGTCACAAATATTTTTAAAGTACTTAAAACATTTAAAAAGCTATTTTAATATCTATTGTTCCAGCAGTATCTATTCTGTACCATTTGTACTCTGGTAAGTGACATATGGTAGGGTCTTAGAATATAATAATCTGCAAAATGCAATAGTCAATGTCCAGGAAGAAACTATTAAAGTATATCACTACTGACAACAAAGAACAACGGTTTACTGGGAACTAGATGTTAGAAAATTCTTTAAGGAGAGAAGCTATTACCTGCTGGCATGTAATAATCCGTAGCAGTTAATGGCTTGGGGAGGAAGGGTCTCAGAATTATAACACTGTGATAAAAAATAAGTTGATGGTGCTTCAAAATAAAAGAACTGCTTTCACTTTAAAGACTATCTGGAAACAACATATCTTGAGGGAAAAAAGTGCACAATGACTGTTTCCAACCACCCATTTATAAAAATAATAAATTTATTTCTCAGTAGAAGCTATATACAAAAAAGCCTATTGGATAAAAAGTCTTAGTGGAGAAAAGGAAATAATCACCACCTATAAGTGGGGAGAGGTGTTACAGCTTAAAACCCAAAGCAAAGGCTTTGTATATTTACTGAATCCTGAGGGCAGAGATGGATTATTAAATTAGAGTAATCTGGGGCAGGTAAGTATATACATATATACACACACACACTGCATTTGTGCTATGAAATATATTATGACTTAGGGAAAATACCTGTGATTTAAATTTGGAAGGAAAAGTACTGGTCTGGTTAAAAAGGAGAAAAGGAGGGGACATGCAGAAAACGTATGTGTATGTGTGTGTGTGTATTTGTGTGTTTGCACACGTGTTTTCATACATAGAATGACAGAATGGGTCAGGCTGGAAGGAACTGCAGTGGGTCACATCTGATCCAGCCTCCCTGCTCAAGCAGGGTCGTCCCAGAGTACACGACACAGGATTGTGTCCAGACACTTCTTGAGTATCTCCAGTGAGGGAGACTCCACAGCCTCTCTGGGCAGCCTGTTCCAGTGCTCTGTCACCCACACAGTAAGGAAGTTCTTCCTCATGTTCAGGTGGAACCTCCTGTGCACCAGTTTCTGCCTCTTGCCTCTTGTCCTATTGCTCTGCACCACTGGCAGAACCTGGAAACATCCTCTTGTCAGCCTCTCTTCAGATACTGACAGACATTGGTGAGTTCCCCTCTCAGTTGTCCCGTCTCAAGTCTGAACAATCCCATCTCCCTCAGCCTGTCCTCGTAAGAGAGATGCTCCAGTCCCTTCATCATCCTCGTTGCCTTCCACTGGATCCACTCCACAAGCTCCATGTCTCTTTTGTGCTGAGGAGCCCAGAACTGCACACAGCACTCCAGATCTGCCTCACCAGAGCTGAGCAGAATGGCAGGATCACCTCCCTTGACCTGCTGGAATGCTCTTCCTAATGCATCCCAGGACACCACTGGCCTCTGGGCCACAAGGGCACTGCTGGCTCAGGGACAGCTTGTCCACCAGGATCCCCACATCCTTCTCTGCAGAGCTGCTTTCCAGCAGCTCAGCCCCCAGCCTGTCCTGCTGCAGGGGGTTATTTCTCCCCAGGGGCAGGACCCTGCACTTGCCTTTCTTGAATTTAAAAATACTCTGCTCTGCTCCTCCCCCCGCCCCCCCCACCCCCAATCTGTCAAGGCACACAAGCACATGTTTATTTGAAAGCTGTTATACCTTTCCAAAGCAAGTGGCTATAATGAAGTGCAGTAAGCTTTAGCAGCATTGTGGGTCCAAGTGGATCCACTATAATAAAGTGAAGTAAGCTTTTGCATTTTGATAAAGGAAGAGAAAAATTCCTGTTGTGTTTCCATTTTCTTTTTCTTTCCACTATCATTTGCTTAGATAATGAAGGCTTACTCTGATCAGAAATGTGTTGTATGTTCAGGGGTGTCATCACCTGTGTTGATGTCAGGGTGTCATTTATTTAGAATAAAGACATAACTATAGATAAATTCAGGCTGGATGAAAATTACATAAAATGACAAGCCAGAGTGAAAATTGGCTGAGGAAATCAAAGATAGGTTGTACTGGATAAAAACAGTGTGATGGAAACAATCTAGACAAGAACAATGACCCTCAAACCCATACCAGGGAATAAGGCAACCTAGGAATCAGCAATAAAGCATCTTGCAAAGATATTGCAAACTATGAGTCAAAGAGTTAAGGAAAAACATTTTCCTAATCACATCCAGAAAGAGAGATTTAATTGTATTAGAAAACAAAGCTGGCACTGAAATAGTCTCAACAATAATTATTTAGTAAATGATATGTATTTTATTATAGTTTTATGACAGTTAATACTGATATGTCTAAGTAGTCTGTCTCACATTTATTACTCATTATATATTCTGTATAATTCCAAAGTACAGGTTGCCAACAATTTGGATAATGAAAATGGTATTCTGGTTTTGTACACTGGGCATGATTTCCTACATGTAACAGATAAAACATCATTATAACATATGCATGTATTTCTGCCCAAGGCAAGAAATACATGCAGCCGTAGAACTATCCATCCACAAAAAAATGCCACTAATCACAACCAAGTCAGACTAACTAAACTAAACTAATTTAGCTTTTACAACTATATATGCCACTAGGCTTGAAAGCCATACTTATTTACTTTATCTTGGGGCACATAAAATCATGGTATTTGGCAGCATGGAATAAGGGACATTAAATCAGCTTTTATGCTGTTGTTAAGAAACCCATAGAGGATGGGATTCAAGCAGCAGGACATCATACCCAACAAATGGCATATGCAATATACTAATTTAAAGTGCCTGTTGGAAATGAGAGTGGCATTAAAATCTGTCACAATGTGGAAAAGGTGAAGAGGCATCCAACTGAAGCCAAAAACCAGTATTAGCACTGTCAGTCTGCAAAAAACCCTCCTCGATCTTGTCTTAATTCTGATGATGGACTGGGATACTGTAATCATGTTCTGGATCTCTGTATTTTCTTCTGGTTTCATTTCAAAACAGATAGGGATCCCAGGGATTAATTTACTGGAGGAAAAGAGCTGGCTTTTTTCTGTGTCAGAGGTTTCTGGGGGAACTCTGGAGTGAGTATCCTGATGATGCCTTGAAATAGCTGGCATCACACTTGAAGTCTTTCTACTGTATCTTCTGTGGTGCCTCCTGCCAAAGGCACGGCTCCACCTGGAATATCTGGAGGGTTGAACCTGTGGGCCAGTGCTCTTAGAGGGATGAAGAGTTAGGTTTATCATCTCCTTTTCTTCAAACTTGTTTTCCTTGTTTGACAGCCTAGCACCTATGCTCCTGCAGACACTGGTGTGACTGGCGGTCAGGCACGCCAGCGGCAGGATGTACTGCATCAACAGCAAGGCTATCGTGAAGGCGATCCTGTAGGAATCAGAAGGCCACGACTCGATGCACAGCAGCCTGTTCTCCAGTCCCTCTAAATTCAGAGTTTTGCTGAGGTCCACAGTTTTATGGAAAACTGGCAGAGGGGAGCAAATTGTGAAGCCCAAGGCCCAAATGATCGCTATTAAGAAATAGCCTTGTTTTGCTGTGAGGTTGCTAGAGAGGGGATACTTTATCATACGGTACCTGACTGCAGCAATAGATATTAACATCAAAGTTGAAACTAGGACTGATGCACACTGGAGGAAGGGCATTACATGGCACATGACAGTGCCAAACATCCATTGGTCAAGCAGGACTGATGTCAGCGTGAATGGTGAACAAAACAGCACAACCAAGATGTCAGAAAAGGCCAAGTTTCCAATGAGAATGTTTATTACTGTCTTCTGCTTGCACTTTAGCAGGGCCATTAGTATAAGAAGATTTCCCACAAAGCCAGCCAGACTTATAAGTGTGTACAGCCCAATAAGAAAGTACTGCATGTCATCAACACTACTCTTATAGTCTTCCCAGGCAGAAAAATTCTTTGTTGCAGCAGAGGTGTTCTTGGTATGTGTCCTGTTGTTACGGTCTTTGAATCCTAAATCCATTTTATAGTCCTGCTTAGAATGAGAAAGGCATTAATTAGTATCTGAAGAAATGATGATATTGCTGTTAATCAGAATGTAAAAATACATAAATTTACCTTCTTTCACCTCAATGCAAATAATTTACTTGTGATGTTAGTCTAGTGTGAGGCAGATACTGCGTAACTTCAGGTCAACATGAATTAGCTAAGTAGGCTTTATCATTTGGTGTTCAGCACTCCTAGGCCTCCTACCTAGATGCTCACGTGGGAGAACAGCAATTTACAGGTCTGCATTATGATGCTGCCTTTTAACGGTGCTTTGCTACAGAACATATTGTCAGGCTTTCCATGAGGGAGCAGTTAGCTACAAAAGCAATACACCTCGAGTCGGTGAGATTACTCGTGTGAATAACAGCCCATTGATATGAGTAAGGAAATTACAGTCACCATCTGGGCAGATGCCTAATCATTATATCATTGCAAATTATAAAGAACCTGAAAATGCATATGCTAACAACTGCAGCAGTATTTCTTACCTTGCTAGTAGAGAACTAACACAAAATAGGTGTGAGCTTTCAAAAAGGATCAGGAAATCCACTGTCAGTAATCCAAGATGGAATTCCTAATGTGGTGTGCATAGAAAACATATTCTACTAAGTGCTGAATATAGTTTAACTGTGCTCAAGCAGATAGGAAAACTCAAAAACACCTCAAATAATTGGATGTAATATAGAGAGGACAGCATTAACTGGAAGCAAACTCCACAGAGCCATTTGGAAATTCAGTGAACTGCTACTTACTCAGCACAGAATCATCTAGTGTTAAACCTAGATCAGCATAAAGTTATTCTGTCTACTGAATCTTCATATATTAGTTTTCATTTTAGAACAAAGAGGAAGACATGAGAATCCAGTTCAAACCTCCATTTATCTTAAGCACTTGCATGTACTAGAGTTTCAAAGTCAAAATTCCCCAGAGTGCCAATGTCCTCTACAAAACTGCTTAACGTTTAGAGATCTTACATAAGAGAAAACAAAAAAGATCTACAAACCCAAAGCACACATAAATAGAGCAGAAGGCTTTATCTGTCACCTAAAAAAGGCAGGACTCTTCAAGACTGTAGCAATAAGGCAGGACTCTTCAAGACTGTAGCAATCCTCTGTCAGCTGTACCATACTGAAATTTTCCAAGTGCAATAGTATTATTTGGTTCCCTCCACACATGCAGATGTGCTCCTTCCTTCATATCATGTGTGTTCCTACTGTTATGGTTTGAGGCAAAGGGAAGCTCAAACCATAAAACAACCCGAGAATGTTTACTAACTGTATTGTGATGTGAAGGTCCTCCAAGTAAGAGTAGAAATATATATATATATCTATAAAAAGATCTTGCAGGTACTATGTTGGAAAACAGTGAAAAGAAGTCAGCCTTCCCAATTTGCCTCAATGTTAAAGTGCTTTTTAACAGCTAAAATAGAATTAAGAACTGAATACAGGAAATTAGATAACCTAAATATTATAATTTTGTGCATATGAGAAGAAGCATTAATCCATATTATTTCTGTTCAGTTTCTTCTAGTCTTTAATGAAATGGTGGAAAACCATATGATAGACAAACAATGCTGAGACTACATTTGCCTCTAGACCAAGTTTAAAGGAGCAGACTCGAGATTTTGAAAGTGATCTAATTTCTCTATTTCTACATTGTTTTTATCAGAAGTTTTAATTTTGGTGGGCTTCTCCTTATACAACTCTTAGCTGATACAGTAGATAGTTCATTACTTAATTTTTCTGAGCTAATTTCTGAGTTTCTAGTAACCAACTGAAAATTGTATGATCTGTGCACCACAGTGTCTTCCCAAATCTGCTGGAATTTCTATTTCCTAAATGTAACTCTACATAACTTTTTTTACTTAACCTTTGCCCTGGATAAGGTAATATAATACTAAGAATAGGATCAAGGAACAAAAATTTATGTAGTGTTATATTGTAACATGTTTAATAAACTAATATTTACTGAATTCTTCTTGAAGGTTTAAGTGAAAGATTGTTGCCAGGTTCTGTGGATTTCTACTCCTCCACATAAAGCTCTTGCAGTATGGATTTAGCAGAAGGGTTCATTGTGTTTTTTAATAGAATTCTTTAAAAACAAAAAGCAAATATTCTGGTTTTCTTAAGTAAACATGTTTTGTTGAGATGCATCAGTACTGAAGAAGTTTAGCATGAGGAGTGCCTCTGAAGTCCAGCATGGGCTTGGCAGCTCCATTCCTTCTGTGCTATGGCTGCCTTCTGCCTTGGGTGACAGACAAACTCTTCCCTACCACGTGTCCTCACTTCCATGAGGAAGGAGCACTGGAAGAAGTCACAAAATCATCTCTTCAGACCCTGGCTGGACACCCAGGGCACCACAAAAGTCTGTGGTGCACAGAAACCCCTTCTGCACCGTCTTCCTACAGTCACAGTTCCAGAGTGACAGCAAGACAGAGAGGGAAGGAATAACAGTATAATCTGCAGGTTTCAACAGACAACTGCTGTGCTGGTACAAGCTCCCTTTGCAAAAAATGCCCAAAGAGAATTTTATTTTAATTTTGAATGTGTAAAAAGAAAGTAGACTTTCCCCCCTAATTTCAAAACATGCCAATCTCTTTGCTCTCTGAGTTTTCTCTCCTGCTCAAAAAGAAACCAGTTGCTGTCAGTCTGAGTGCCAGCAGCAGTAAAGATGCAAACAGAAGTTTTCCTCCCATATCATTGATCTCAAGTCTCCAAACTCATCTTAGCATGCCACTGATTTCACAAGGCTGTGTGCACTTACTGACATTTATTTTCCTGCTTTGTTTTAACAGCTGCTTCTATTCTTGGAGATTCGCTCACCCTCCCTCATGTTGGTTGGTCAATCCTGGTGCAGCACGTGGCCGTAACTTTCAGGGAAATGGAAATTCCTGAAAATCCCATTGTGGAAAACAGAATTAAGTAATGCAGCCTCTTTTCAAAACCTTCACATCATATTTGAAGTATATTTCTAAACTAAATGCACGATAGTGCCAGGGTGCTCTTGCACCTGCTTTCAAAGCTCAAATTTAGTCAATCTGAAGGTACCTCATACCCATGTGTGGGCTTGCCTAGGTCTCATGTAGTTTCAGTGGAATGCCTTAGGAAGGAGGCTAGGCTGCACAAGACTAGGAGAGACTGCAGTTTTGTGGCAGGATCTGAGATAGATTTGAATATTTACTGCAAGAGTCAAATGATTGCAGTTAACATTTAGATGAGTTAGAGGCACCAGATAACCTGTGCTAATTCAACATGTCTAATATCTTGTACTGAACATCATTTTTTCACTTAAAGCTATCATTTAAATCACAAAATCTCTAAATCATCATTTAGAACAGTTAACAGGCCGGATATTTCTTTTCCTCTACATATTTAAAGGGAAATTTTCAAGAACACAAAAGTTAGGCAGGCAACCATCATCCTCTAAAGGCAATTGTTTTTTTCAGGAAATGTTCCTTCAATTAGATGAGATACTTATATTAAGGTTTATTCATGGATAAGAGCTTATATCCCACAATATGAATACCTATTAACTTATCTCTGACTGGCTGGTCGTTGTGCAGTCCAGTCAGTTCAATCCTTGCAACAGGGCAATTAATCTTTACAGCTGGGAACAATTTACAGTCTTGGATGACCTTTCTCTATGTTAAAAGAAGAAAAAGAACAGAAAAAAAAAACCCCAAAACACGCAAAAAACAAAAACCCTGCAAAATATCCCCAAAAACCCCATGGTGAGCACATACAAGGAGGAAGCACATTGTGTTAATTTGTAAGAAGTACAACCTTTCTGGCTTCATAACACTGGAGAAGTACCAAGACTGTACAGAAAAAGTCAGAGAAGGTTCTTAAGCATCTACATAGATGAAAATAGTTAATGTGAGTGGCAGTTACTGCACGACCACCAAAGCTTTAGGAAAGCACTGAGCTGTGTTGTTACCTGAGAAATAAAGCCCTCACATCAATACAGACGGATAACATTCGAGACAAAATCTGAAACCTCAGAAGGGTTGCATTCACAAGCTAAAGATGAAAAGCTGCTGATTCTCATGTTCTTGTTCATAATGTGCAACAGCAAAAACTAGCCCGAGAACCTGGAAGTGTTCAACAGATTGAAGTTACTTCAGAAGTCCAGAAAAAAGGATTTTTTGTACACATTGATGGCATGCCTATTTCTCTATCTCACCAAAAGAACTGCAACATTATCCCGAAAAAGAAGAATACAACTTCCCAAATTGTGCCAAGGCCGACTAATAACATTGTACGTCCAGCTCCAAGGAAATGCTACGGAACGTAACGGGCTATTTGCTGGCCAGAACAGAAAACTTGAATCGCACGGTTAAATTTTTATTTTTTTTTCTCCCCAGGGAGCACAGCAGCTCCCGGCTCGCAAAAGCGCCAAACCACCCCAAAAGGGGAACGACTGTTATTTTTGCCTTTCTACGCCTCCCTTGGGAAGCACTCTGCACCGCCCCGCGTCCGACACCGCGCTCTCGTTCGCAGCCCGAGCCGCGGGCGCCCCGCAGCAGCGGCACCCCCGG